TAAACACTCCCTGCTGAACCACTGGAATGAACTGTAGAGTATTGTTTTAATACAAAAAAATTACATTTTGCCAAAATGTCTTTCAAGATTTTGTTGCATTCACACAAAATACTGATGAATATTTTTAATATGTTAGTGCTAATGCAACAGTAATAGATTTATTTATTCTTTATTGATTGCCTGATGAAGTCATTTATTCATTCACTCTTATAATTGTAATTTAATATACATTTATGAGGTGTTTCACGCACTGTTTACGCTCTTGTACATTTTTCCCATGTTGTTATAGTGTGATGGTGTCACCCTGAACCTCAGCAGCATCTCATTGGAGGGCATTGCCATCCTGAATATTCCCAGCATGCATGGCGGTTCCAACCTATGGGGAGAGAGCAAGAAACAGAGGGGTCTCCGTCGAACAGGGAAGAAGTTTCCGGAAAAGAAGACCCCAATTATTGAACCCAAACAACTTGTTATTGCTGTCCAAGGTATAAAAACACATATTCTTTACATATCAAAAATAGTTTGATAGATATATTATTTATATTAATATTTTATTTTTTTAACATTTTCTTTTTTCTTTTGTTAATTTCTTTTTCAATAATTTGTTTTATTTGTTTTTATATATATATTTTTTTAAATACATTTTTTAGTTATTATTTACTGGGGGTCTAGTCAGAATTAGTTTCTTTGGTAATCAACATTATGCCGTAAATGCTGTCAATAGAGCTTAATTGTTAATTAACTTGTATTGAACTTGGAACATTTCTTTAAGGGTCACCTTAACGTTACTGGTTTGCGAAGTCCTTGTCTTCATACCTGATTAATCAAAGGCAACTTCAGAAGAACTTTTCTTTCATGATGAATATTTCACCAGTGACACATTGAACCATGGTAAAACAGACTGATTGGGGTTTCAATAACTTTCTAAAGCAGCAAGCTTACTGTAACATACGTCTGCTGCTGCCACTAGCTGTGCTCAAGGATACTGAAATTACCATCATGCAAATTCCTGTTTTTCATAACACAAAATGTACACAATTTTCATGCAAGTTGTGCATCTTTGGTGCTTTGTAGTCTCAGACGGTACGCCCATGAACCGCCCACAGTCTGTTCACTGTCAGTTTAATGCTTATTGCACACAAAACTAATCACTGAATTTGCCAGATTAGTGATATCACATCTTCAAAAAATATTCCATGGTTTGTTTGAGGCACTTAGTAGCAATTTAACTAGATAAACTGTATAACTGGCTTTAAGTTATGTTTGTGAGATAGTCAGAATAGCACAAACATAACTCAGTACTACTGTTTGCTAATAAAGCCTGCCTCTAAGTAAAAAATATGGTAATTGTGAGATGTTCAAAATAAGAAATAATCACATTGTGAGATGCAAAGTCATAATGTGAGAGGTAAAGTTCTAATGTGAGATGCAAAGTCATAATGTAAGGTATGGTATAAAGCCATAACATGAGATATAAAGTCATAACTGTGATATATAGAATCACATTGTGAGACTTAAAGTCATAATATGCTATATAAAGTCCCATTTGTAAGGTATAAAGCCTCATTTGGGAGATTTAAGAATGTGTTTATGAGATATAAAGTCACATTGTGAAAAATAAAGTCATAGATGTGAGATATGAAGTCGCATTGCGAGATTTACTCTGAGGCGGAAACTGACTTCTATGAAATATTTATAAAACTATGATTTATCTCATAATATACGTATCATAAACCCACCTCTAAATGGCACCTTCTGTAAAAACAAATCAAACTGTAGTTCATCACTTTACATGTCAGTCAGATCAACACACAATTTGTAACTATTTAACATTTTGGTGAATTTTTGTTATGAATTCTAACAATTTGTATGTTTTCTTACGATCTGCTTAATAGACTTCATGCTTTCTTTCCTTTAGTGTTCTTATGGGGGAAAAAAGCATACATATTCATACAAATCACCAACTCATAAAATAGTTACATTTTCTCATGAGATCGGGTTGTTCAGGTGTCCTGTTCCTGTCAAAGTGGGCAATTTTTGGCCAAAGTAAGCAGCAATTTGGCCTAGAGATTGTTGTGATTGTGATGAATCCTAATAAAAATGCATCTGAATGCAAGAAATAAGAGCAAACACTGCACCTGTTAATACAACAGAGGTACCAAATGTATAAACCCTTACACGTAGTTCCCTGCCAAATGACATTAACCCCAATCCTGTCAAAGTGAGATAAACACTTAGATCTTCCCTCCACGGAGGATCATCAAGGCAGAACACTGTTCACTAATCTAGAAATGTGTACGCCGGTTGTCACCACATTGGGGAAAATCCATGTATCGTGCCGGTTTGAGAGCATTGATTGCAGTTTTGAAGAACCTCTTTGGGCCATTATCATGGGACCGTTTGGGATCACAAAGAGCAGAATGAAGGGTGAAACATCAGAGCCTGTTCGAGTCTTACAATCACAGAATTCGAGGTTCCCTGATGAGAAATCACCCATTTGAAAGAGAGTGTCAGTTAGACTTTCTTGTTTACGAAGGTTAAAGGGTTTACTTGCCTGGCCCAGCCGCTTTCTTTCCAGTCAATATGGGTGAAAATGAATTATAACCTCTAGTATGAGTATACTTACTCATGTTTTGTACAGTACATCAATATCTGTACATTTACACACCATAACTCCATAGAATCTCATTCATTAAACTCTTTAATCTGTCCACCTCAGTTAAACCCCAAGTACCAATCCATTATTTCAGGTGTCGTTAGTCTGAGGCCGTCTTTACGGTTCATCCAGCCCCTTGCACTCTTTAATTTCAGTCAATACGAGTCAGTCGCTGATAAATGCACCCATTTGTATCATGCATGTTTGCGCTAATATCCTGCCGCTGCTTCTCTCAGTTGGGCTAAAGTAGAAATGGAGCGCTTGGCGAATAAAATCGGTTTCCGAAAAAGAGAGCAAGAGGACAAAACCCTTTACCCTCCATTCTATTCCATTTACTCTGGAAAAAAGATCAATTGATTGGTGCGAAGGCGACCGCGAGCCCAGGTTTGGATGAGAGAAGGCACTTAACCTGGGTGCGTCAACGATGGATTTGAAAGCCTTCATAGATACAGCTTCATCTGAAGGAGCTCTGAAGGTGAGAGGCCTGTGCTTGTCAGATTAGTCAAGGAGCATTAGCTGGATGGTAAACAGGGAGTGTATTAGCCCCCGAGGCCTGGCTCTCAGGTGGGGTAGAGTCTGACCTTTCGGGAGCAGTTGAGTGGCCCCGCTGGTGACGCTAGGAGACAGGCCTCCTCAGGTGGAAGGGAATGGAGGCAGGCTGAATCATTCAACATGGACGTGGGCTGCACTGGGGCTACTGATGTCCCCTGACACACTGTGCGAAAGCCCCCCAACGCCCCTCCCGTGCACCTCAGCCCTCCCTGCGCCTGTCACTCCATGTGCGTTATGAGCAACACAGGCTGTTCAATCACACAGAAAAAAAACAGGTGACAAGAAAACACCATTATAGGGTGCATACAGCTTGTGTATGTGTGTGCAAAAGAAAGAGAGGTTTGTGTTCAAAAGTGAAGATGATTTTAAAATATTTTTTCTTATCCCATCTTTACATGCAGTGTCTTTTAGAAATGGATGTGGAGGTTGAAAGTGTATGTGCTTTAAAAATTTTTTATTTGTTTAAGCAGTGGACATCAACCAATGGTGTCAGCTTGGGGTGGGGCTATTTGTTTTAAAGCAGTTTGATTGGAGTCTTCAGGAAAACAGTCATTATTTCTGAAATTCTGTTTGGTGATTCTAGTATATTTTTAGAACCAAGGGGTTAAGGTTTGGCCAGTTAACCCCTGCTGGTAGATTTTCTAACTACACCTTTATGTGGACCAAAGGATCTTTCTTCAATGGCAGCCATTCAAAAAGCCATGTAAATTTATTTGTATTAATATTATTTTAAATAAAAATAAGTTTTAATTTATTTGAATGTGTATTTTTTTATAATTGAATTTTATTTAAATGTTGCACATTTTTTCATAATTTTAATTAAAAAAATATTATTTAATTTAATTTGACTGAAATTGTACTTTTTATTTTCGTATTTATTAGAATATAATTAGAGCCTAATTTTTTGTTGGCTAGTAGATGTTTTACCAGCTGTGTCTAAAATCGCATACTGTCTGAGTAGGTACTATATTTGAATTGGAACTTACTTTGCAACTGATAAAAATATGTTCTATATAGTATGAACCTAGGTAGTATGAATGAAATTCAGATGTACTACATCTGCCATGTTGTTACTGTCACGTGAACTACCAGCATCAGTTGTGTCGCTTCGCTGCCATTCAGAAAGCCTCTCCCTTGGCCTCATGGGATAGTAAAGTGTCCATCGAATATGTACTTAAGAATCTCAGTAGAAGTAGTAGGTCATCTGAGTACTTTTTGCCTACTGTTATGGCATACTGTTTTTCGCATACTATATAGTAGTATTTGATTTTGGATGCAACGCAGCTCTGGGGCAGCATTTACCAACTGAACATTAATTGAAATGAATGGGAATGCAAAACCTTGGTGTTGACGTAACTTCTCCTCATTCGTGTTTAGACAATCTATTAAATTCCCATTTGAAAAAGAGAGAGAGAAGACAGCTCCCATCCAGAGCATGTGAAGCTGTAGGTAGAGAGTGTTCTCTGCTTCCTCAGGTGTTTAGAAATCCCCTCAGCCTCTCTCTGATGCCACCCATCGTTGATGGCTGACCTCTGTGTGAGCTCTCAGCCTCACCAGTCATGCAAGCCTGACTCTTTTAGAGAGCAGAGCCACAGTGGTCAAAGGACTGTGTACACAAATACACACACACTCAACACACTCACACCTTTTCGAATCCCAGCAAGGCCTCGTTCACAGCCTGTCACCTTGACAACAGTTGAACACAGGGTTGGTACAACAGTCCAAGAATTTGTGTTACCCGCGGTTGCCAGACAACTGTAACCAACAACTGTGTTTAGCTTTTAAATTTTTAAGAAATATATTCTTGCTTTGCCCTTAGGTACATTTTTGTGGCTTTTTGCACACAAATGACATGTAACTTGAATATGTGAATGAACTTGTAGTATAACACATTATTTTCATAAAACAAATAGTTCTGGTCCTGACTTCTGATTGGTCAGTAGTGTTTGAGCCATACTAAAATACATTTTATTATAACTTGAAACACTTGTTAGCACTACCTAGCACCCAATTTAAAGAATGTAAGATACAGAATAAATGCAAGGTATGTAAAAACATATAAGATAATAGAATAAATGTAAGGAATAGAATGAGATATAAAATGTGTGAGCTATAGAATTGGATGTAAAAATGATTAGATGTAAGAAATAGAATATGATATAAAATATGTAAGCTAAAGAATGGAATAAATGTAAGGCAATATAATAAATTTGAGGAACATAATATATAAAATATGTAAGCTACTGTATGGAATAGAATGGAATAAATGTAAGATGTAGAACAGAGTAAACGTTAGAAACAGAATAAGATATAAAATATGAAATCTATAGTATAGAATAGACTAATAAATGTAAGCTATAGAATAGAATAAACGTTAGAAATAGAATAAGATATGAAATGTGTAATCAATAGAATTGAATAAATGTGAGAAAGTAGATTTGATGTAAGAAATAGATTATGATATAAAATATGCAAGCTATAGAATAGAATGAAATAAATGTAAGATAGAATAGAACAAATGTAGGAAATAGAATAAGATAAGATAGAATAGAATAAATGTAAGGAGTAGAATAAAACAAGATATATCAAATTTGTTAGCTATAAAATGGAATAAATGAAAGATATAGCATTAAAATAGAATAATAACATAATTTAGTAAATGTAAGGAATAGAATAGAACAGAACAGAATAGAATAGATGTAAGATACATGATACATGTGTACATTAAGCCATAGTGCTTATGTTAGTGGAGAGCGTTTGAACCTGGCTCGCAACATTTCCTGATCACATTCCCCCTTCTCTTTCCATCTCACTAAGATTCCAAAAGTAGAAAAAAAGATCAAAACTAAAACGTAAAGAGAAATGGTTGCAGTGCAACAGACCTGACTAGACCTTGAGTTAGCGCTAGTCAGAGCTTTCCCAGCACTCACTTCTGTTTATTTGTGTGGTTTGACTGTTGCCTCTCTGTGGACTGAATGATACCGTGTGTGTGTTTGAGGAGGAGGAGAGGAAGACTCATAGGAGCTGTTACTGAACAGATGGTCCCAGCGCGACACTGGACCTCCGACCGAGGAAAAATCAATGCTCATAACTTCAAAACAAAAAAGAAATTAATAAATATGGAGGAACACAAGATTGCTTTGCATCAGTGTCGCATTCTAATTAATAGGTGTTTTGTTTGTGGGTTGTTGGTGTTTTTTTTCTCCCCTCCTTTTCTCCAACAGTGACAATTTATGCTTTTTTAGAGCGGAAGGCAGACTGTGAAGATTCCAAATCAAGCTTGTCTGCTTTTTTTTTCTCTCCTTCTCACACGTTCCCCCCCTTCCGCCCAAACACACCTCCACTGTCTGCTCCTCATCTTCTCTTTTGGTCTTTCTCCTCATAATTTTTCCCCCTGACGTCCCCCACAGATCAAGCTTGAGGTTTGGTAGAAAGTGGATGGTTTAACAGGCTAACACATTTTGACAGGGATATTGAAATTGGTTTTGTGTTTTGGAGGGAGAGGTCTGTCTGTAATGGGCTCTTTGGTTTGTGTATTTCATGTACGTTAATGATAATGCTAAATAATTCACTTTATGTATTAGCACATGTCTTACATGTGTTACATATTTACATTAATTTTTTTCATTTAGCAGATGATTTTATGCAAAATGACTTATAAATGCGAAAAATCACAAGCAATTTATCATATAGGACACAACAATATTTACTATAAAAATTAATTATTTAAAGGAAGTGCCTTTGTTTATGGCGCATTCAGATACATCCAATCAGATTTAAGATTCAATGTCTGGATCTAGAGAAACTGGCAGGTCATTGTAAGTTCAGAGACTTTAACCAGACTAGACATTTTATTTAATTTGACGTGAATGAAAATGTCTGTTAGGAACATAAGTTCCTAAGATGAAGCTCAGCTCATGTGCAACTAGTCATTTTCATTATTTGATGGATTTTTGCTCGTTTTTAGATCAGGTTGACCTCATCAGTTCCCTATTTCTTTTCTGTCTGTCACTAGTTTTCTTTCTGTCTCTTAGACCCGTCTGATCAGCTGTTGGAGGTGGTGGGGCTGGAGGGGGCAATGGAAATGGGGCAGATCTACACAGGTCTGAAGAGCGCAGGCCGACGTCTGGCCCAGTGTACCTCCATCATTATCAGGTTACATTTCATTGTAATTATAAATCAACTCATTCTTCCAGTGCCATGTTCCTAATATACTGAATTTAGAAGTGTTTACTTGGTCCAATGAAGTAGTAAATTTGGGGAACTTTATTACTATAGTAAAATGCTTTATATTGTGCTTTACTCTTTCTAAAACGAGTTTCTAAAGCTGTATTTTGCTAGTTCATTTATTTTTATGAGTTTTGACTATATTAAAGTTGTAGTGTAGTAGTTTTTAAAAGTTTAGGGTTAGTAAGTTTTTGTTTAAGAAATTTACACTTTTATTCAGCAAGGATGCATTAAATTAATTGAAAGTGACATTAAAGGGGTCATATGATGCAGTTAGCGCTAGTCAGAGCTTTCCCAGCACTCACTTCTGTTTATTTGTGTGGTTTGACTGTTGCCTCTCTGTGGACTGAATGATACCGTGTGTGTGTTTGAGGAGGAGGAGAGGAAGACTCATAGGAGCTGTTACTGAACAGATGGTCCCAGCGCGACACTGGACCTCCGACCGAGGAAAAATCAATGCTCATAACTTCAAAACAAAAAAGAAATTAATAAATATGGAGGAACACAAGATTGCTTTGCATCAGTGTCACATTCTAATTAATAGGTGTTTTGTTTGTGGGTTGTTGGTGTTCTTTTCTCCCCTCCTTTTCTCCAACGGTGACAATTTATGCTTTTTTAGAGCGGAAGGCAGACTGTGAAGATTCCAAATCAAGCTTATCTGCTTTTTTTTCTCTCT